AAAATCTCTTAAGGGCTCATGGTATAAATGCAGGATACAAATTGTCACGGATGCTGTGCTGTTTTGCCCAGGTCCTCCTTCAGGGCTGAAGGACTTATGCCTCCCCCAATTCACCATTCCCTGCTGCTGGCTGAGAGAGCCCCTTGCCCAAGATCCTACCTTCCCAGGGCAGCTAGAATCCAATGACTGACAGCACAGGGCCATCCCAGCTTCAGAGCTCTCTATGGGGTCCACTGTCAGGCCCTGTCATGGTTGTCCTGCAGCCAGACTTCTCCCTCTGCCCACAGGGGTGGGTCCCAAAAGCACTCTCCCACCAAACTCCCTGTGACTTGGAATCTGTCTTCTAAAGACCCCAACCAGCAACAGAGAGTGCCAGAGGTGATCTGAAGGAGTAGATGCCCAGATGAGACATGGGAGCTGGATCACCCAATTTAATGAGGTCCCAGCCCTAAAGAAGCATAGCAGCCTCTGGCACAGGGAAGCGTTAAACTGCAAATGTTTTCCTGGTAGTAAATGGATGGTATACCAGGGGAAGGAAATTTAAGAGCAGGTATCATGTATCAAACATTCATTAGGCTAAGGAATTGGCAGGAAGAGTAATCACCAGGAAGGAAGCAGGTAACTGCGACACATAAGGACAGGAAGCAGGTGACCTGTGGCACCCAGATGATCCAATTAGGTGTTGTAGTCCTTTGTCATATTTTGACAGTAACTAACTGGATAAATACAGCAGCCACAGCAATGAGGGCCTAAAACTTCAGGGCTGGAGGTCTAGGCCACTTGACCACATGAGCCCCCTAGACCATCAGAGGTGCTGGCATGGCGTGAGAGGAATCTTGGGTGAGTCAAAGAGGGAAATGATGAGGATGTCAGTTATGCTTCAAGATGAGCTGCCACATTCCTCCAGGAGTTTCCCAAGAGAAAAGATACCCACCAGAGTCCTGGAGGGGCCACTTTCAGGACTTAAATAAACAAGTCAAAGATGAGAATTGGGATGTTAAAGATAGTAGATATGTTTTCTACTGCAATAGAGCAGTGCTTCTCAAATCTGGGTAGGACATGGACCAACAATGAGTGATGTGATAGGAATTCAAGTAACTGGACAGATATGGCCCATTTTCCTGGGGGGTCAGTTTTATTTGAAGATATAAGGAAATTCTAAAAATTATTATTATGGAGCATAATACAAAATGCTAATGATCTGCTGAACACCATGTGGGCACTGTGGCAGATGCTGATGTGCCACTAGGTCCCCTTCAGGACTAAAGAATTATTCCCCAGTTACTGAAAGAGTTGTAGGTTGACAGATCTCTGCTGTTGGTCTTCTTGAGGAATTGTGCTTGGCTGCAGAGAGCCACCTTCCCTAAGGTCACACCCCATTCCTGGGGTAACTAGCTAATCCAGTGATTGACTGGTCAGTGCTAAGAATGTAAAGGCTTGGCCTGTTTATCCCAACTCAGCAACTTGAAATTGCCATGTCAGCTTCAGAGCTCCCCTCTGAGTCTGCCAAAGTCTCTTCTGACTCCCTGACTTCTGTGTCCAATCCTGCCTCCCTTCCTTCTCTCACAGGAGTTGATCTGAGAGCATTCACCAATAAATTTCCTGCACACTGATCAATAATCCCTTGCCTCTGAGTCAGCTCCAGAGGAATCAATGTAGGAGACAAACCATGATCTGAGCCCTGACCAAGCTGTTAACCTCTGGATTTGGCTCTTTGGTCTTCTTTAATCCCAGAAACCCCCTGATAGATACATGTGGTGTGTTCTCCACATTCTTGGCCCACACAGTAAACTTGATCCCTAGGAGGAAGTGTGTTCTTTATTCTGTCAGGCCAAAGATACTCCTTAAAATGAAGAGTGATGACACCAGCCTCCCTTCCACAGCTTTCCCAAGGTCCCATCTGGATTCAGCCTCTTCTGCGCTGAGGCCTGTCATCAATCACAATCAAGCACATCACATCCATGGCTCCTTAACAGCCACAGTATGGCTATTTATGTCTTTGGGCTTCTAGCAGAGCTCTCCCTGTGAGCCTTCTATGTTCTTCTGGATCCCCAAGGACTTTCTGCCATAAAGAGCCTCGTTGCTCATCTCTGATTAGAAGAGTCCCAGCTGTTTTCTTAGGTGTGGGTGAGAGGATAGGATGCTTCTATCGCTAAGGCAGTGACTCTGGGTGTCTGTCTGGTTAGATAGGGGAAAAAGGCCAGGAGAGGTGACATGGCTTTCCCAAGTTCAAGTCAGTAGCAGGACTGGAACTAAATATGCATATCACTCCTCCCAAACCTCTCAGGTTTGTCTCTACTAAAATCTAGAGAAGRGAACTGCTTTGTGCTGTAAATCTCAGCGGCTTGGGACTCTGAATTACCAGTTATTCTGGAAGTCAAGAATATGATGTGGAACCCAAATCAGGGATTAAGGGAAACTCTGTAAATAGCATATTTGGCCCCTACTAATCCCACCAATAGGAAGGCATGGGTCACTATGATCTATAATGCAAAGCAGAGTTGTGCAGCAGGAGTGTGCAGGGCCTGCATGATGATGTATAGCCATTCATCTGAGTAAAAGGTTTAAAAMAATTTTTTTTAACTCAGTGCTGGTTATTTTGTGCTTTCCTCTGATATCTAGAACCTTCTGTGGAGGGATAAATGCAGGAGGGTCTGGGAAGTGCTGCCACAGTAAAAGGAAGATTTACACCTGTATTTTTTAGTTATAGATGGACACAATACCTTTATTTAATTTATTTATTTCTATGTGGTTTTGAGGATCAAACCCAGTGCCTCACACATGCTAGGCAAGTGCTCTACCACTAAGCCACAACCCCAGCCCCTACACCTGTATTTTTTAAACAAAAGAATCAAGTCACTATCATTCTACTCAATCAGAATAGTTGCAAACTGTTTAACATTCCAATGTAGGATTCTCACTAGCAGGCCAGTGGTGAACATCAGTGGATATTATTCCAGAACCTAGTTCTGCATAGTTAGGGTTTTTCATCTATTAATAGGCAATCAAAACACTTGACAAGAAGCCAAAAACATGACTCCCTCAAATTTCTATAGTACTTAAAAAAGAAAAAAGAAAAGACCTTCTGCAACAATATATTGACTACAGTCATGTATAACTAATTAGAACAAATAAAAAATTCTTTGAAAAAATAATGATATTGATATGCATTAAATCTAGATCTTTGGAACATATAAATTATCTTGTGTCAATTTCTATGGCAGAGAAAATTACATTATATAATTTTTTTCAAAGTTCTTCTCCCAAGAGACCAGTGTTTGGACAGGAAAGTCTTTAGCAATCAAATCTTTTCTTCCCTAATCTATGTTGTGCCATGGATAACTGCACATTTTTTGCAATGCTGTTGAATCTGGTGGAATTTGAAACCTGCTGAGTTTTGTGGACAGGTAGGCCTTCCAAAAATAGAGACAGATGTCACTCTTCTAGGTCTTTCTAGAGATGACCTAGGTGGCATTTAAGGAGAAAACAAGTGTCCTGTCATTATTTGCTGCATGGAGTCCTACCCAGGATACAGAGAGTGGGATCTAAAGTCAGAGTTAGTGTCACTTAATCCAGAAGTCATGGAAGGAAAATCAAAAACAAAAACCCTCCAGAAGATAACAAAATCATAGATGGCTAGATCATCTGTATTGCTAACTAAATTATGCAAATGTCTTATTTTTTTCTTGTTTATCCATTCAGCCTAGGATTCTCCTTACATCCCAACTCAGTAAATAGTATCTATCATCAAACTTGGTTGCTCAGGCCAAAAGCCTGGAGTCATTCCTGAGTTCTGTCTTTCAACTCCTTCCACATTATCAGCAAGTCCTTCCCTCTATCTACAAAACACCCAAATACGTCAAAATTTTTTCCACCTAGAATACTGTTACCCAAAACCACAGTTATCTTTCCTGGACTACTTTGTCTCTTATGTCGTGTCTCTGCTTTCATTTTTGCCCCTTCCCCCTACAATCTACACTAMGTACCTTTACAGATTAAAATCATGTCACCCTCCAGTGTCTTCCCATTGCTCTTGAAACAAAATCCAAATGCTTTACTATGGACCCCGAAGCCTTTCATCTAGATTCTGCCTGCTGCTTCTCACACCACTCCCTAAACCCACAGGCCATTTTGCAGGTCCTTGAATGTGTCAGTCTCTTCTCTGTGGCCTCCCCTAATGGTCTGGTCTTTGCACTTGCTGTTGCCTTTGTCTAGGACAGTCTTCATAAGATCAGCCTTTATGATCCTAGTTAAGTCTCAGGGAAAATAAATGTATCCCTTCCTCTTCATCATTAAGTATCACCAACCTGACCCTCATTAAGTTCATAAATCAGCACCTGAAATTTTGTTTTAAAGATGGGCTTTCAGCTTGTCTTTGCCCACCCGCACGTCAGTACCCTCGGCATCTATAGTGCCTGACGCACGCACAGTAGGTGTCAAGAGCTATTTCCCACACGGGCCAATCCCGGGAGCTGACGGCCACGGAGCTGGTAACGATAGCACAAGGTGACAAGGACCGTGCGGGGCCCGCCTCCTGCTAGAAGCGGGCGGCTACCCCTTGCGCTCATCCCAGTGGCCTTAGGAAAGCTTAGGGACCGGAGCATTCGGCATCCAGTCTTTAACGACGACGACAGCGTCGTTCCTGGGAAGAAAGTCGAGAGGCGGCGCGGCCAGCTGGAAAGCCCCGGAGCGGGGCAAGGGCTGGACGAGCGTCGGGTCCAGGTCCAGGGCAGCGCGGCAGGCTCGGCGGTCRCAAGCCGCGGCTGGTCCTGCSGGCGCCGCGGCTTCGCTTCCGGGTGAGGGGCGGGCGGGCCGAGCAGTTCCGGGGCGGGCGGCGGCTGCTGGTCCCGGGCGCGCGGAGGGCGCGAGCGGCGCGCGGGGGCCGAGGGGGCGCGAGGCGGCGGCGCGGGGACTCCGGGCCCCGGCGGCGGCCCATGGGGCGGGAGGCCTGAGGCCGCGGCCTGCCCGGGGCTCGGGGGGTGGGGGGAGCGGGGCGGGGAGATGGATAAACTGACCATCATCTCAGGATGTCTCTTTCTGGCCGCCGATATCTTCGCCATCGCCAGCATCGCCAACCCCGACTGGATCAACACCGGGGAGTCGGCCGGTGAGCGGCGGGCTCGCGGGGCCGCGCTGGGGCTTGGCGGAGGCGGAGGGCGGCGCGGGGACCCGGGCTGAGGGGGACAGGCRGCCGGAGCGGCGCGGGCGGGGGCCGGCCTGGGGGGAGGCAGGCGGAGCGGAGCGGAGAGCCGGGCCGCGGAGCCGGGCGCGAGGGGAGGGGACGGAGACCCGGCTGCCTGCGGTACCCCCGGCCTGTGCAAAAAGTGGCCGAGGAGACCCGGGCAGGGCTGACGCCCGGCACCGGGGAAGAAGCGGGTGCAGGGAGGATTCTAAAAAGAGGGGGGAAAAGTCAAGGTGGGAGACTGGAGGAAACTGAGAGAGAATTAGAATCCAGGCGGAGAGGCTGGGGCGGGAGCGGGGCAGCGGGTGGGGAGAGCTGCGGGGCGAGGCAGCCGGAACGACCCTGGACCCCCACCCTGGCTCCCCGAGGAAGCTGCACCCGGGAAGCGGTGCCCCCGCGGCGGTGCAGGGAGAGCTGAGGGGGGCAGGTCGGGTGGAGGAGGTTGAGGATCTCAGACCCCCGTCCCCAACCCATCCCGTGCCCTTTTGGCGGGGCTGGAGACACTGGTGGCTTCCAGTTTTTCCTTTGAAATGTAAGTGATTATAATTTTGCTTTATTTTAGGCCCGGGAGCTRTAATGATACTAATAATAAACTTCATTTTATGGAGCATCTTTCATTCCAGCGCATCACAAAAACACTGTAGAGGTCTTAATAGTAGTTACAAAATTAAATAACACRTTAGAGTTGCAGGCAGCCCAGCAGCAGTAGCAGCGGCTGCTGTGACGCCACGGAGCTGTAGACTGGAGAGGCAAGGTGCTGCCCTCCAGGAAAGAGGCGGGTATCTCAGGTGAATGTGCTGGCAAGATTTTTCTCAGCTTGTTCATCCCTTCTCCCTCCTCATCTCTCTCCCTTCCTGTAGACCTGTGAGACTCAACCTTTAATTAATGTAAACAGGTGTCAGGAATTAAGGAATGAGTCTGTTTTTTTTTGTTTGTTTGTTTGTTTTTAACTGCTTATCCAGTGCATGCAAAGGGAATATTGAGGATTGGGAATGTCAAGCTCCTTGCATGAACAGTTTGCTACAAAAAATGTAACACTATGCTGTCAAACTTAGTTCTTAAGTATTACTTATGGTTCTGTATTTATCCTGCAATATTTTTAGCTCTTAAAAAAAAAAAAAAAGAAGCTGTAGCTGGGGCATTTGTTGCTTCTTCCTCCCTTCCTTCGCTCCCCTGATCTAGACCTAGTGACACAAAATCGTGCTGTCACATTTACTGGTTATTAAAATTACACTAAAGAATTCTGCTACTTTTCTTGGCTGTGGASTTTTAGCAGAGCTTTTCATTGTAAAGCCTATAAGAAAGTATCAGGATGGTTTAGAATTTGGTGCAACTGTTTATGAAAGTGTTGGTGATTCCAGACAGTTTGTGCAATTATATGTGTGACATCCTGCTCATTACCATTGTTGTTTTTAATCCTAATTATRTATGTAGTGACTCCTTTTAAGAAACTTTATTTGGGGCTTTACAGACTTAGAGACAATGAATTTTCACTGTCTTTAACAGAGGGAYCCTTTTTGTAAAGGAGTATTATGGGAAATCTTGATAGACTAAATGTCCCTGGGACTGTTATAATTGAGAGAGGAAAGTATTACTATATAGGAGAAGAAAGAAGTAATGGTATAATATTCTTGAGAGAAGATGGAACATAKCAAACTTCTCTTTCATTCAAAAGAAAGCAAGGGCAGGATGAGTTCAACTCTTTCAGATTTGGAGGCAAAGTCATTGACTGTAAATTGCCAGACATAGGAGAGATGATAGTTCAAGGTTTGAAGGAAGTAGAAGGTTCAAAAAAAAAGTTGCAGAAAGAGCATGCCAACGTAGTAGGATTGTATGGCTGCCTTGTGGAAGCTGGTAGTGAGGAACATACTGTGTGATAACCTGTTTGTTCTACTGACTTTTCTAGTAGTGCTCAGCTACTTTGGTACCAGTGTAGCTGAAGTAGGTTAATTTTCTAGATGTTCTTGGGAATAAGGAAACATCGAGAGTACTAATGTGAGATCCTGTAGAAAGTGTCATTGAAGGTTAGGGTTTGCCAGATATATACAATAAAACGACAAAGCAATCAAGATGTATAGTATTGGACAAAGTATCTTTGTATACACACATGCACCCGATTGATCCCAGGACAATTTAACATGGAGCTACATCCCCAGGACCCCCCCCCTTTTAATTAATTAATTAATTAATTTTTAAGAGAAAGTCTCCCGAAATTGCTGAGGGAATTCAGCAGTCTCAGAGTTCAGTCTCCCTAGTAGCTGGGATTACAGGTGTGTGCCACCATGCCCTGCTGTTGGCCAAAGTATCTTTGTAATGATGGCTTATGAAAGCTCCGCTGGATAAAAAGCAGAAGTAAATAAAGGGTTGGCCAGTCAAGTAGCAGATGGTTTATAGTCAATGGAACAGTGGACCCAATAATACTGAGGACCAGTCTGGGTGGAAATAATTGTATGGCAAAGTAGCATGACAGGGGATTGTGGGCATAAGCTCCACAGTGTAACAGTGAGAGTGTGCGGCTGAAATGGAGTAGTGGATATGATTTTTTTTTTTCTTAACAATTTTTCTTGCCATCTCTACCCTTCAGTTAGATATTCTGTGGCTTAAAAGGGGAATAATAAGGTGGGCGTGGTGGTACATGCCCATGAATCTGGTAGCTTGGAATCTTGATATGTGAATTCGATAATATGTTCTTTTCATTGTTGTACTCTTGTGCTGTGATAAGATGCACTTGAACTTTTCCTAGTATTTGCTTTAGCACTCATGTTCAACTTTACCTGAGCAGACAGATGCAGTCTTGAGTTAAAAATAAAAACAAAAAACAGTGGAGTGGTGCACGCCTGTAATCCCAGTGGCCTGGGAGTCTGAGGCAGGAGGATTGCCAACCTCAGCAACTCAGTGAGACCCTGTCTCTAAATAAAATACAAAAAGAGGGCTGGGGATGTGACTGTACCCCCTGGTTCAATAGCAGGCACCAAATACCAAAAAAATAAATAAATAAAGTGCAAAGTTATTTTTCCAAATCAATGAAATAATTACAAGATGTTTCAATAAGGTCTCTCTGAGGTAATAGAACCACTGTCGTGTCATCATCTGCCTATCTGCCCCTCCCATTCCCACCTCCCAATCCCATACTGGGGATTGAAACTGGGGTTCTCTACCACTTAGCTACATCCCTGGCCATTTTTTGTTTTTTATATTCGAGACAGTGTCTTGCTCAGTTGCTCAGGCTGGCCTCCAATGATCCTTCTGTCTCAGTCTTCTAAGTAGCCGGAATTACAGGCATGTGCCACTGTGCCAGGCTAGGACCAGCTTTATTCTAGGGTCTGCACAAAAGTGAATTTACCTGGCAGCAAAAGTTAATGTGTTCCCTTTGGTGTACCGGATTCATTCTATAAAAGTTTCGGTTAATTCTTGGGATTTAAAAGGTTCTGTTTATGTAATTTTGAAAACCACTGCAGTGAACTATTTAAGGGAAATTTCAGGACTCAAATCCTAACTTCATCGATTACCAGTACTGTACTTTAGTTCAAATTCCTTAGCCTCTCCATCTCAATTTTCTCCTCTGTAAAACAGGGATAAAAATAATAGCCATCTCATTGTTTTGTGGTGATTAACCTCACTAATCCATGTAAAACATTTAGAAAGTGCCTGGCACATAGCAAGTGCTCAATAAAAGATATTGTTGTTCTAGTTTATAAGAACAGGTGTCAGAATCCCAGTTTTGTAGTTAGAGCCCTGGACTTGTTACTGTAAGAAATGACATCTCTTTATTAGGTGCTCTTGGATATAAAGAAACATCAAGAATAATACATCCAGACTTAGAGCAAGTTAAATGTTTACCCTCTTGGCTTTGAATTTTATTCATCACTCCTGTACAGTTTCTCTTCTTCTAGTGTTTCATTTCTGCACTCTAATCTGTTCCTCAGCTTTTGCTTAAACTACCCCAGAAGGAAATGAAATATAAAATGGCAAAAACTGGATCAAATAACTTCCTAAAATCACAACTGATAAACTATATTACCATAAGATTATGGGCCATACCTTGGATGCTCACAGTTTTTAGTTTTAATTTTAGTGGTCCAGATCCAGAGAAAATGTTTCTTTTTCTTTTTGTCTGTTTGGGACAACATTTTCTTCTTGTTCTAATAGCTTGTGGATTATGTAGCAACTTTTTTTTTGAGTGGGGTACTGGGGGCTGAACTCAGGGGCACTGGACCACATCTCCAGTCCTATTTTGTATGTTATTTAGAGACAGGCTCTTACTGAGTTGGTTAGCGCCTTACTTTTGCTGAGGCAGACTTTAAACTTTCGATCCTCCTGTCTCAGCCTCCAGAGCTGCTGGGATTACAGATGTGTGCCACCACACTGGCTGTGTAGAAACTTTCCTTTTTTTGTAGTGCCTTATAGTTTTGAAGTGCTTTGACATTCATTACTTGATTTGATCCCTTAGGCTTTTTCTATCTGGCTGATGTGAAATAGTCATTTCCACATTTTCTCCACATTTCAATACTTTGCACTTGAGATTTGAGTTTCAATGTGTCAAAGTCTCCCTTCAAGAAGATTTCAGGGCTGGGGTTATAGCTGAGTTATAATGTACTTGCCGTAATATGAACAAGGTCCTGATTTCTGTCCCCAGCACTGCAGAAAAGAAAACTTTTTGCCTAAGTATTACCTATATCTTAATTATGTACAACTTTTATTTATCTTACCGAGGTTTAAATTCCTCAGTGGGTGGAATTTTTGTTAGATTATAGAAGAGGGAAGGGAAAATTTAGGTTTCAGTCTTAAACGATAGCTTTTGCTTTGTAAAAGTTTCTTAAACCTCACTGTCATTCTTTAAAGAGACAAAGCCTTTGTGGGAAAAAAAAAGAGATCATTTATTTAATTTTAGCAAGATCAACAGTTAAGCAAGTTGTTCTGATTCA